CCTGTTGAAGTGTAATAATAGGAATAAAATCATTATAATTATAGTGTACTCCAGATTTATTGAAGTATAATAATATTAATAAAATCATTGTAATTATAATGTACTCCAGACCTGTTGAAGTGTAATAATAGGAATAAAATCATTATAATTATAGTGTACTCCAGATTTATTGAAGTATAATAATATTAATAAAATCATTATAATTATAGTGTACTCCAGATTTATTGAAGTATAATAATATTAATAAAATCATTGTAATTATAGTGTACTCCAAATCTCTTGAAGTATAATAATATGAATAAAATCATTGTCATTATAATGTACTCCAGACCTGTTGAAGTGTAATAATAGGAATAATACCCTTATAAATATTGTGTAAGGAAGACAACCAGGGATTGACCATCATATTATAAAACTCTCATAGTTGTATGGGGGAGAGCATGCTTTACACTGAGTTTCAATCCTACAACTTGCAGATTTGAAATTAAGTGCTGTAACTAATACTGAAGAGATGTGAATTTGAGTGACATGTCAGTGGTGATTATTAATGGTTTTCAATCATTTATGTTTGTTACAGTTCTTCAGAATTACCAAACAGCACTCTAGAAACAAAACAAAATTGAAACTCTAAAGCTATTATTTGTTTGTTTTTTGCAAAATTACACAATGAGCTATCCGTGCTTTGTCCAACACAGGGAATTGAACCCTGAATTATAGATCAGTTAACTTACTGCTAACCCACTGGGAAACATTATTATAATTATTCCTGTCTTGTAGTTATATAAGTTCTTCAATAAGGAAGTTTTTGGTACTTTATGCTTGTCTAAAATTATTTAGTCTTTAATAATGTCTTTTTCTTTGTACCTTAGGCTGGAGTAAGCAACAAAATTGACTTAAGAATTGCACCAGCTAGTGAAACTTTGGGTAAGTATGTTTTAAGATATGGAAAGCTTTCTCATGATGTCAAGGACAATCTCAAGTTTGAATATAATAAAACCAATATTTCCTGTTTCCAGGAAATTACAACATGCTGTATTTATTTGTTATCCTAAAAACAGTGAATAGTTTATATGTAGAAAAAAAGTATACATCCTCATCTACATTATCATTTTTTATTTCAAAACTTTTTTAAAATTATCTCTCCTACAATCTGTAATGGGAGCCAAAGTAGAATAAGATCTAAATCTTTTCTAAGCTTTCTTTGCACTTTTCCAGTTATTAGTTGATTAACAGAACACACACAAAATACTGTGTTGATAATCTTTCATATCTCTACACTCTTTTTAGATAGACCAAAAATGTTTTTGTTTTCTCTTGAATAATTAGAATTGATATGAGTGAAATAAGCCTAAGCATGATCTAGTTGTTAGTTTATCAGTTTGGTGATGCGAGAGTCTCAGGTTTGAGATGTGCTAATGGTTAGTTGTTCTAACTAGAGATACAGGAATCTTATGTTTTAGATGTGCTAGTGGTAATTTTACCTCTCTGGTGTTGTGATGGACTGTAGTTTGAGAGGCGTGAGTGGTTTGTTTGTAATTAAGCACAAAACAACATAATGGGCTATCTGTGCTCTGCCCACCACGGGTATCGAAACCCAGATTCTAGTGTTGTAAGTCGCAGACATACCGTTGCGCCACTGGGGGCTTATCTTCCAAGAGTTCAAATTCATATCTTGTTAATATGTTTTTGTAATGATTTAATTTATTTTTTATATTATGCTCCAAAAATTATGTATAAATATTTAGCATTTTATTCGTATCATTATATTTCAACAGGTATGGAATATAGTAGGAAGTTCAAAATTTGGGGTGGTTGCACATAGCCTTAGTAGTTTTGGCTTAAATATGAACAACCAACCTAGTCTTCACTCATACTCACTAATTTCTTCCCATTTTTTACTGACTCCAGTCCCACTAATGCTTGCAGTTACATAACAGATTGCAATTTTATTCTCAACTAAGTTGTCATTTTGTTTTGTTGTCATTGTCCAAGTCATCATCTTGGGGTGACGTTTACAGTCCAAAGTAACAAGGATAACTTTAGTCTACTGTGAAACCAGATTTGTTTTCTTTTTCTGAATACCTTCTAACTGTATTTTCAAGTAGCTCTAGTAGGTGAAAATCTCAACACTCATGCAACAATTTTAAATAAAAGTCAGCCCTTGCAAAATTCTTTCCACCATGAGATACATATGTGTCCAGCTTTGTATTCAGCCAAGTCACAACTACTGGATCCATGTTAAGGATATATGCAAGCTACCTTCACCGAGTTTTGACCACCTTTCTGCTTTGGACACAACAATTAGTCTTTTAGTTGGACTAAAGGAAAATCCTTAAAGCTAGAATATATTGTCAAGTGCCGTTTTTCAGCTGCTGACAGAAGTAATTATCTTCCTAGTGCAGCCTCATATTTTTGAAGACAGGGATCATCACTGGTTTGTCACTTTCAAGCTTTGAGATAGCACAAGAGGTCCCTTGCAATTACAAAACTTCATTACCTAGTATGTTTTAGCAGATGTTGGCAGAGAAGATGCTGACTTGTTGGTCTACCATGGCTTCTAAATGCTCCTTTATTTTAGTTGTATTTTCAATGGTAAATGATCTGCAACAAATGGTCACAGAGTAAAGACATCTTTCCCCTCCTTCACTGAAGCATATACAAGTACTTGTTGGGAAATGTGTTTCTCTCAGAACTTTAAAAGCTGCTTAATTATTCCTACAAGTTTGCTAACAATATATATTTGATGACTATCATGAACTAGTACATTCAATACATGAAGCACAAAGTCACATATGACAAGTTGAGGTTATTTCTCTTCAAATAGTGCTGGTTTAGCACTCATATTACTTACATGATTGAGAAAAAAGCATAGATCTTTACTTATCCCATGGTCTCTATCAGAATACTGAAAACTTCAGCTACTCACACATACCAATGTGAGATTCAGTTTTTGATCTCCAAAAAAAAGATAGTTCATGAATTAGAAATATCATATTCATTAAAAAAGATTTATTTCACTTTGGTCCATCCTCAGCATAAGATTTCC